TCTCAAAAAAAAAAAAAAAAAAGATTAATATGTTCTATTTTCTTTACTCATTCTAACCTACCAAAGCTTTCCCTATGACTTACCTATTTGGTTAGTCTCACTCTGTTCATTCCAAAAGTATTTATTTAATACTTCAGAGTTTAGGCTTTAAAGAAACCAAAGGTAAATACAGTTGTCTTGTCCCTTGGTATCCGTGTGGTATTGGTTCCGAGGACTTACCTCAGGTACCAAAATCCACAGATGTTTAAGTCCCTTATGTATAAAATGACAGGATTTGAATTTAACCAATACACATCCTCCTGTATACTTTAAATCATCTCTAGATTACTTATAATACCTAACACGCTGTAAACGTTTTGTAAATAGTTGTTATATTTTATTCTTTTACTGGTACTTTTAATTGTGATATTTTTCATTTTTATGTCTTTAAAGTATTTCTGATCCATACTTGGTTGAATCCATGCATGCAGAACTGGCGGATGTGGAGGGCTGGCTATATTTTGTGGTCTGTGTTTTCAAGAGCCTTTAGGGAGTCTAGGCACAGTGGCTCACACCTGTAATCTCAGATCTTTGGGAGGCCAAGGCAAGAGGATTGCTTGATGCTAGGAGTTCCAGACAAGCCTGGGCAACATAGTGAGACCTTGTCTCTACAAAGAATTTAAAAATTAGCCAGGCTTGGTGGTGTACACCTGTAGTGCCAGCTACTCAGGAGGCTGAGGCTGGAGGATCACTTGAGCCCAGGAGTTAGAGGTTATAATGAGCTATAACCATACCACTGCAGTCCAGCCTGGGCCACAGAGCAAGACCCTGTCTCTAAAAAATTAAAAGAATCTTTGGGAAAAATCAGACACATGCACAAATGACTGTAATGCATCTCAGAGTGTAGTATATACCATGAGAGTTAGAAGCAGGCAGGGAGCTTTACAGAGGGATAATCACTACAGGTCTTGATGAAATGTCTTTGAAAGGGGACGGGCACAGTGGCTTACGCTGTAATCCTGCACTTTGGGAGGCTGAGGTGGGCAGATCACCTGAGTTCTGGAGTTCAAGACCAGCCTAGCCCATGTGGCGAAACCCCATCTCTACTAAAAAATATAAAAATTAGCCAGGCATGGTGGCAGGCACCTGTAATCTCATCTACTTAAGAGGCTGAGGCAGGGAGAATTGCATGAACCTGTGTGGTGGAGGTTGCAGCGAGCCGAGATCGCGCCACTGTCCAGCCTGGGCGACAGTGTGAGACTGTCACCAAAAAAAAAAAAAAAAAAAGGTCTTTGAAGGGCTTCCTAGTTACTTCTTTTACAGTGCTTGTGGTAAGGGCTGCTTTTTATGTTCTACAGTATTCATAGTCTTAGTACATTACTATAGCCTGTGGTTAGTATTCAGTAAATGTTAAGTCAATAAGTTTGTGTTCAACCAGTTCTAAACAAAATAGTTAATGTAAAGATATGGTCAGAAAGAGAAACTTACCTTGAATGGTGTTATTTGTGTTTGTTTCAAGTTCTGACACAGACCTTAGAGATGAGAGAGAACTTTCAGAAGCAGTTACAGGAGATAATGTCTGCAACATCAATAGTGAAACCCCAAGGGCAGAGGACTTCCCTTTCAAGAAGTGGTTGTAACAGTGCATCTTCAACACCTGACAGCACTCGCTCTGCTCGCAGTGGACGAAGTAGAGTCCTAGAGGCACTGAGGTGTGTACCTGTTACTGATGGCAGAAAAACTAGATGACTAGAGAGAAAGGATTTATGCACCTGCTGCTGACTCAATTCCATGAGCTTGGCCTAATTTAGTTTAGTTTTGTTTTTTTCCCCAATATGCAGTAAAAGCAGAAATGTAAAATATCAAGACTAGTGAAGGGGTTATACGCCTAGGCCTTATTTAGCCCAAACAATAAATATTATATTCCAGTATTATCTATTGCTTTTGGCTCTCTGCTGACTAGATTTTTCGTTCTAGCTTGTCCTTCCGTCCCTTGCTCCCAGCAGTTCTAGACTTCTTACTCGGAGGTGGCAGCAGACATGGAGGTTTGTCTTACAGCAGCACCTGCTTCACAGTGAGGCATGATTGATACTTTTTATTATCTCTGTTGAGAAAGAAATGATTTTAAGATCTAATTTGCCTCAATGGATTCAGTAGGCAGTTCTCTCTGTCTACTCATACACTAATATTGAATAGTATTTGTATTAAACAATAAGTACATATATTTTTTTCAGAGTCTTTTTCTAATGCAATATATAAAATTTTAAAGTTATTTTTGTTGGAATTTTGCATGCATTTTGTATTTTGCTTGTAAAATTTATCTTCTAGAAAAGGTGATTACAGTTTTTAGTGTGATGTGACTTAAGCTCAGTTGCATAACTTCATCTTTTTCTTGATAGAAGAAAATATCTATAATTGTGTGATAAGAATTATGGAACTTGTATTTTCAATTGACTAATTGAATTAAGTATAAGATAAACTAGCATTTATCTTATGCTAACTGTGTATTACATGAGGCAGTTCATTATCTCAGTACTGAGTAAAGTAGCTTTTTAATATGCTTCAGATCAAGTTTTATCATTATAGAGAACCTAAATCCTGTACCAAATCAGA